TGGACCTTCACCTCCCAGTCTCCCTCACACACATTTTTAAAATGAGAAAAGGAATAGCACCCAGAAGCCTAGCACTCTGTAGCTCTCTTCCTGGTAGTGAGCAGAGTAATTAGAAAAGAACCACTTATTTTTATTAAAACTACATGTGAAGTAATTCTACACCTATGAGTTTTAAAGTTTCATTTATCCCAGTGGAATCATCAAGGTGTAGCCTGAAATCATTTATTTTGGGATACAGCCAACAGTCTCATATAAGAGTTGTTCTTATATAAAGGCAACATATTTTGAATGAATGTGAGTTTGTTTTAAACTTCAGTATTTTCATGAAAATATAGTAGAGTTTTTAACAGCAGATATTTGTCTAGCTTACTTTCAACTTTCCTATTTTATTTCCATTGAAATAAAAGATGTGAAAATGATCAACAGGTAATGGAATAATGACCTGATTATGAAATTGTTATATAGTCCCTTTGAATTTCCACGTGATTAAAAAATCTTATGTCATAGAGTGAAAACATGAATATTTGATCACATAAAATATAGAGTTTAGTACCCTGATTTGAGTTCTTTATTGCTCTATTTTGGCTGAAAGTTTTTCCATTTCTTGCCATATTATAACCTTTTTTTTCCATTTTGCTGTTTATTATTCATATGGAATGGTTTAAAATAAACTGATTTTCTTTAGATATTAGTATGTTAGAATATATGGAAATAACACCAACCTTTCCAAGGTAAATATTTCTGCTGTCTTCTTGAAAAATGTTAAAATGGGGAACATAAACTATATTATCTTTTAAATTTTAATTTTAAAAGGTTCAAGTATATAAACTATTTAAGCGTAGTTTCTGCTTACTTCTTGTGGAGAAAGAGTTTTTATATGTTGTGACCCTCAAGTTCTGAAATTACAGTTTTATAAATATATTCTGGAGTTGTAGTGACTGCATATTTTTCATACTCAGAAATTTTGTAGATTTAACAAGACTTGCATTAATTGGTCTCAAGCTGCATGAAACTACTGTTCCATTTATGGCTTATATAAATTACATGACATTGTGTTTTTCCGATATGAATGGTGAATGAGGCTATTGTCTCTTGGCTTATGGGAAATATTAGAAGCTTGTAGTTTTACTGCCTAACTGGACACGTCACTCTAATTTCTGGAAATAATGATTTAAAGAGTCAGTTTATATATTAAAAGTAAACTGACAGCTGCTTCCTTAAACCTGACCATTTTTCTAACTGCCCATATGTTCCAGAGTTTATATCTCAGATGGGATAATTAAGTTTCTAAAGACTATTTAGACTTTAGACTAAATAGAAAAAGACTTTGTTCAATGTGTGTGGCATTTTTGGGAAAAAACTGTATCTTTCCATTTTCATTTCTAGTTGAATGACCTTTCATTATCTACATTGGATGCATACTTAGTGACGGAGATGATAACATTTAAAGGACATTTCAATTGTAACTAAAAATGCCAATAAAACTTGAGTGTGGCTACCTGAGTATCCTCTTACTTTCCTTTATAAGCATTACTCAGGATGGAATTATTTAGTTTCCCTCAAGGAAATCAAGGCTACTTCAAGATTACTGTATTTAAAACATTTATAGCAAATATGACAAAGGCTTAACATATTTAGAATAGAATTGGTAAAAAAATAAAATCACAAATTAGTAAGAAAAACATTTATATTGTAATAGAAAACTATACAAATAACTTGAACATGCCAATCCAAATAAAGGAAATCCAAGTGAGACACTACTACCAAACTGGCAACGATTAAAGCAGTGATGCTCAATAGTGACGAGAGTGTCATAAGGTAAATATTGATACACTTCTGTGTAAATGTGTATGTGTGCACTTATCTTTATTTAGAAATAATTTTAAACCTACAGAAAAGTTGCAAGAGTAGTGCAAAGAATACCTGTATACTCTTACACAGAATCACTTATAGTAAATATTTACATCATTTGTTTTATCATTTTTTTCTCTCTTCCCTCCACCTACCACTCTGTGTGCACGCGTGCATGTGCGCACACACACACACACACAAATTTTTTTCTGAAACATCTGAAAGTTAAGGTACATCAGGGCTCTAAGTTTTATTTTTTTAATTGAAAAATTTATTGAGATATTTGTAGGTTCACTCGCGGTTGTAAAAAATAATATAGATAGGTACTCATTTACCCAGTTTCTCCCAGCGATAACCTTTTGTAGAACTGTAGCGTAATATCACAACCAGGATACTGGTAAAATATACTACCTCTCTTTTTTCAGATGTTCCCAGTTTTACATATACTTGTGTGTGTGTGTGTGTGTGTGTGTGTGTATTTCTCAAGTTGATCTTTTCAATCACCTACAGTACAAGCCAGTTACACATGTTAACAGCTCAAGTAAGGGTCAAAGTCTGTGCAGATGTGAAGAATCAATCTTTCTGCCTTTTTGAAGCCAGGGTGAATGGAACTTAAATCACATAACTGGAGTAATAGAATGTGTTGCTTAGGCTCAGGAACATGATCTTAACCAGAAGAAGAAATATAATTATAAGCAGACTTGAATAAACCAAATTACCATTGTTTTCACTCTAGGAGAATGAGGGTATTCTCTTTGCAACTCCTCACACACTTTTCTGAAAAGATTTGCCATAGAAATAAAGTTGAGATATGGAGAATTAAGTTAACTCTAATTACTGCTGGTATCAATGGAACTAGTAACATATTAACTTCTCCACTAATTTCAAAATTTCCTTACTAATTTCTCTTTCAATGATGATGTTTAGGGGAGCTGGTAGAAGCAAAGGGATGGAAGATGATAGGTTTTTTAGATTATTTCAGTGATGCATTTGGATTAAATCACGTCCACAAAGCATTATAGCCACATTTAAAATGATTCTTATAAAAGGGTTCAGTTCTCAAGCTTCCTGAGACAGGACTCAAGCATATTGTATTTTATACCCTATACAGGTTGAAAAGGTTGCGTTTGCAATAGAGACAGCTTGGTTCTCAAAAAAGACAGGTGAATTGGAAGCCAGGTGACTCTGGGGTCTTTTGGCACTGTCACTACTGATTATGTGCTGTCATGCGAGTGATTTAGCATCACAGTTCTTTCGACTGTGAGATGATAGGTTTTAGTGTGTAATTTTGAGATTATTTTCAGATCATAAAGTCTGTGACTCTCTTAAAAATATTCTTCCTCTCTTCAATGGAACTTCGAGTCCACAACCCAAGTGACACAAGATTGTACTATGTTTTTTGTAGTTCCTGTTTAGAACCCTAGTAACCCTGTTCAGGATTTTTCCATTCTTGTGAGAATGTTGTTTAAATCTCAGAGATGTGTCTTTGCTAAGTGATCCCCTGAGAAGACACACAGTGCTTTCCTTCCTCTGTTCTATTCTTAATTTACTTGTTTCTGTTCTTCAGTAAACAGTAAAGTGGATGAAAGTTGGCATGTCATATAGTTTATATTTGATTATAAGTGCTTGCCCTGTCCTAGGTTCCTTTTCTGTGCAGAATTATGGAATCTTGAGAACTGGAATGCATCAAGCCCTCTGTTGTCTGCAGGCAGATTTGTAAAACGGCTTCAGGTTTAGATGTGGAATCTCAAGTGTCAGACCTTTTATAGCAAAAGAAAGTTGTGTGAGCACGTGGAATAAACAATATTGAGTATTGCTGAGCTAAAGAACATAATTCCCTGAATATTGTTTAGAGAGCATGTGAACTTAAGAGGCGACTATTATTCGCATATTGATAAAGGAGAATTGTCACATGCCACAAAAATTAAACAAACTAGCGTTCTCTTGAGCTGATACTCCTTTCCGTTAATATCTGTAAGGCTGGCAGCCAGGTTTGATTGGTGCACCCCTTTATTTTTCTGGGCATCATTGTTCTCTGTGAAGTGAGGTTAGACTTCATTTTTGGTCCTCCCAACTCTAAACTTTTTTGAATATATAACTGTGCTTTTGTTTTAGAGTCATACTCATTCATCTTCAGCATGAATGGGAAACACCTCATTTATCCAGCATCAAAGAAAAATGGACCCATTCTTCCAAATGAATGAACTTTTCATGTGACAGTTTATCATTTACCCTTTTTAAAGCTCTTACTAAGTGCCATGCAGTCTTATCTGTAGTTCTTTTTGGTGGGTAATGCCTTATTTACACAAGAGGAAATAGGCTCAAATGTAAGTACTTGCCCCCCGCAAACCACACAGTAAACAGAGGCACCAGGATGCAACTCTGTGCTATTCCAGAGTTCACATCCATTATTATGATGATGATTTACTTTAACATATTGCTTCTCATAAGCAGTAACACTGCTCTTAATTTCAAATATTTTGGATGAAGGTATTTGAAAACATACCTTTTATACAAAAAACAGAAACAAAAACTACTCTTCAGAACTTAGCATTTCCCTAAGTTAGAATTTCCTTTAGGAGCTGCACGATGCTGGAACTTCTAGTTTGGTGAATATAACAATGTGGCTTTAATATCAGACACTACTTGAAATTCCATATTCATGGCCGAATGAATGATTGATTTTATTTCTGTTCTCAGGTGATCCCAGAAGAGGCCACAGAGTCAGTTGGTCGGTGTTGGCATTAATCCTATTGTCCATTCTTGTTTAAGTCTTTTCTTTTGATTTCACTGTTGACAGAATAACCACACTTATATTAGAATGCCTGGGATGGTGGTAATAATAATAGCTAATATTTATTGAGTGCTTACTGAGTGTCAGGCATTGTTCTCAGAAGACATGGGCTGATTTAATCATCCAACAACTCTGTGGACAAGATTCCATTGTTGTTCCTAATACATACAGGTGAAGAATAGGAGGCACAGGTGGTCAAGCAATTTTGTAAGGGTTGCTTAGTTTATAAGTAGCAAACCTAGGTTTGTCTGAGTCTAGAGCTTGTTGAACTGCTTGGTTCCACTTATAGGCAGATATTTTTCAATAAATATACTGTTGGCTCTTAGTATCCTGGGTTTTTTGTCTGAGGATTCAGCCAACCTCACATGGAAACCAGTATTTCTGTCTGTGGTTGGGAATGCACAGATGTAGAGGGTGGACTGCATTGTCCTACACCAGTTTCTATAAGGGACTTGAGCATCTGTGGATTTTGGCATTTTCAGGAGTCATGAAGTTAGGTGTTTTGGGAGTCCTAAGTTATGCATGGTTTTTCTACTGCACAGGGATCAGTGCCTCTGACCTCTGGGTTGTTTAAGGGTCAACTGTACTATGATCCTAAAGTATCCTATAATTGCCTCTCTTTTTAGAAATAAAACAACTCTCAATTACCACTTGTAACCGATGTAACCAACTCCCTTTGGGTATTTGAGATCTGGAGACTTCTTATAGCTGTTTGTCTTCCTGCCTCACGACTCTCTTTCTCACTGGTCCATTTAGGGTGCCTTTTGGTGACTGACTTTTACACTTGCTGCCTCCTTCACTGGCTTGCCTCTTTTGATGGGGCCGAGTCAACAAAAAGTATCAAGCCACTGTTCTGAGCCAAGATAATATGGCTATTCCTGTTGAAATCATCATTAAGTCATAATTTTGAGTTTAAAGATGAGACTGCCGTACAGAGCATTATTTGAGAGTCTAATGTCATTTATGAATTTTTGTAATACTTAGTGTTTATTGATCATTTACAAATGTTGATAGATGTATAAAGTACTTAATCTTTTTGGATACTAATGCTTCAGTGCTTCATTTTAAGGCAAAGAGAGCTTAAGCAATTTAATTTTCATTATCTCCATTTGGAAGCAGCAGATACTATAAAATGAAAATATTGCCTTAAAGTCTGAATTTCTGGGAGATTTTAGGTGATGTAGATATAATCATCCTCTTGCTACCCAGGTGGTTATGTGACTGGTGATGCTGAAGGCTGAAGCTGAAATTGCTTTATTTTTTTCTTGAACTATAGGACTATTTCCCCATCTTCATGAGAGATAACCTATTATATATACTCTGACAAGGAAGGTGCCACCAGGTGGCAAGTAAAATAAATGGATTTTTTTTAATGCCTAATTAGCCTAAGAAGGTGATTAATTCATCATCTTTATTTGGAAGCAAGACTGAAAAAGGTTTCTATTTTCTGGTTCCTGCTGGAAACCTATACATTTACTATTATTGTCCTAATGCTTTATCGAATTCTAAGTGTCCTGATTGTTGCTTTCTTCCACTGCAGGATGTTTCACTCCGGTCGAATGTGGAGCTGTCATTGGAAGTGGAAGCCAAGTTCTCTTTTGTTCTTATACGCTTTATATACTGTCTGTGTCCCTCACTTAGGTAAGTAAGACTTTTTCTTTTTCAAACCCTGAATTTAATAATGATTCAATTGCCTTCAGCATAAGTGTGCTATTTGTTTAAGTAACCTTATTTGTTGTCATTCTTTTCTGTTTCTGCCCTTATAGGCTTTTTCTGTCCATGGCCTCTCATGGCGTTCTGACTTTTGTGAGAATATCGTTACTTTGATCATTGTTTTATTTTCTAATAAGTATATTTCTTTAATCTTTGCTGCATTTTTTAGCTTTATTTATTTATTTAGCCAATGTTGAGTGGTGAGATAGCTACATATCTGACATTAAAAAATGTACTAGATTTTTCTTCTACTATTGAATAAATATACAGTACTTAATTTTCTCTCTTCAAGTTTTCATATAGTTATTTATAGAAAGTGAAGTATAGACTTTGCTATTTTTATTTAACTTGATTTTATTGCAATGTATGAGACAGGAATTTGAAATTAAGTTTAGACCACCAATTTTATTTAGTTGACTTAAAATGATATGAAAAAGTTCATTTTAATTGCAGTATTTTTGGAATTAAATATCTAATTTTCTTAATTACCATTTTTTCTGAACTTTGAAACAAGATCCTTTTAGCTGTTGTTGAAAGCTAAAATTTCTATAAACAGCTAATTATATGAATAAGCCAATGAGAACCTGAGGAATGTGAACGAGTTTAAAAGTAAATGTTTATTATCTGATTTTATTACTGAGCAGACTGCACTTCTCTTTAATCTATTTTATTTGACTTATTATTTTTACTGCTTCATTTATTCAGTTTATTATATTTTCCTTTATAATAAAGTCATTACTCATAAAGTCTTATGTATTTATTACTTGAGATTTAACCAAGATGTTATACATTCCATATTTATAACATGTCTGTATATTATTATAAATAATACACTTATTGAATCATAGAGATAGAGTATCTGCTAAAATTGCTTATTTATGGGTTAGGGAATTCAACTTGTATTTAATATATCAATACTTTTTTCCAAGCCATCTAGTATTTTAATTGTTTCAGCTCCGTACTTGGAAAATCCCTGGCACTTGTTTAATGGTTTCAAAACAAAACTGATCTTTTACTGAATTTTTTTATGTTTGTTTCAATTTAATTATAAAGTCACTCTGTTATTTTCATTTCCAGAAAGTGGAAACAAACTTGTAAAGAGATCTGAAAAGTTCACATACATTAGATTTTTATGATGTAATTGAAATATTTCTTAACTTTCAAAAGTGATCCTCCAAGAGCCAATTACATGAAGTGAGATAAATTATGAGATTAAAACTAGTTGAGGTCTGTTAACTTTCATTTTTGTTAGGTCGAGTCTCCTTCAGACCTTACATTGGGACTTTTTACTTTTGATGTTAACATTTTAGTTGATATACGCACATTTCGTATTTTAATCGTTTGAATAAATGAAGTGAAAGACATGTTTTTAGGCTGATTGGAAGGAGTCATCTGTGCTAGGACTAAAGTGAGGCAAGAGAAGGGACAAAGGATACAAAATTTAAGGAGACAGTCATTCTCAAGGTCGTAGGAATGAGAGTACTTAAGTTCGTTTTTGTTGTTGTCTCATACTGGAAACCTTTCTTAAGAGTTTCTTTCATTACCCAACACTTCGTGTGCATCAGGTAAGGCTTTGTGACATGGCTACTGTGTTTACTAATAAAGCCAGAAGTTTTTGTATCTATGTATCTGTAAACATGATTCACTTAAAATGCCACCACTTCACACATGAACATATGAACTCACAAACATACTTTAAGGGGCTATTATTGGCATTTTAATATAATTTTTTCCTTGTAAGTAACAACATAGGGTTCCTTAAAATAATATGTATTAAAACTTTAGAGATATATAATTTTTAAAGTTCTCTCTTTAAGAAATACCACTCACTATATTTTCACGATCATTTAGTGCCTAACTGTACCGTGTACTCTGACTTTTTTCACTGCTCCAGATGACCCCTGGTGATCTTATCGAGTCTAAACGCTTTAAATGGCATCTTGATGCCAATGTCTCTTAAATCCATATCTCAGCCCTGGCCCCTTTCTTGACCCTGGAGACACCTTTTGGATTGCTTATTCTCATCTGTACTTTAAAATAGGCATCAAACTTCACATATGCAAACAAGATTCTTGATTTCTACCTCTTAAACCCAAATCTGCTTCACTCTCAATCGTTACAGTCCATCCGACTATCCTGCTATTCTGTCCTACTCTCACTGTTTTCTAGACAGATCAGCCTTTTTAGTTCAGATGATTAAAAATTAGAATCATTCTTTAATTTGGGTGATAGTCATAGTTTAATTCATAGAACAGAATTGCAACGTTAAATCTCTTAGTAGATGGTTAAGTTAACATTTGTAGATGCACAGGGCATTTACAAAGCAAAAATTATGCCGAGTTTATGTTTTTTGTCATTTAAACTGGTCCCACAGGAGTGCAGATTACAAAACCTGATTGTTTCCTACCCACTAGCTTGACAGTATTTAGAGAGGTCGATAACATCTAGTATTATCACGGAGGTGAGGAAAGGGCACACCCTAACACTGATGGTTCTGACTTTTGGGAAAGTAACTGGGTAACATTTTTTCAAAATTAAGAATGTGTATTTTCTTTGACATCATTCCCACATGTAGGCATCTATCCTTTGAAATTAAAAAATAAATAAATAAAAACATAGAGAAATATGTACCACTATGTTAACTATAATATTGTAATAGCAAGCAGTTGGTAAAGACTAATTGTTCACTAACAAGCAAATGGTTACATAATTTTTTTTATATTAACAATGTGATATACTGTGCAGTCATTCAAAGCAATGTGGTCAAATCGTGTATATTGGCTTGGAAAGATGTCCATGATGTTGTTAAATTAAAAAGCAAGTTGCAGGACATTATAAGATTATCCCAGATTTGTAATAGTTTGTCTTACAAAACTGGGATGTGTTGTTTATATACATTTGAATAAGACTGTATAAACATATTAATAAAACATGGAATGATACACACCAGACTTCAAAATAGGTTATCTCAGGAGCATAAAATCTCAGGGGCATAGGAAAGGTTATCTCAGGCTTGGAGTAAAGAGAAAGGCAACTCTGAATTATTTGCCTTGTTACAATGAGCATGTATCACTTCAGTACTTCGGGGAAAAAATCGTGATAAAATTCTTTGGTTTAAAAAAAAAAGCCACATTAAAAAAGTGGCCAAAGTATGTATATTGTACTTTTCTGTTAGTCACTTAACTGTTAACTCTGGCTCTTTCTTCACTTGATAAGAATGTCTAAAAGGTGTTTCAAATAATAACCTCTTTTTATGTAACATGACACTCCATGACTCTGAAGATGAATGATGATATCTCAAGTAGACAGAAGGTTATGGCTTCAAGTAGAGTAGGAAACAAAGAACCAAGAGCCAATGAATTCCTAAGCAACCAGGAGCCTGTTTCCACACAGATAGCCTTAGTCATGAGCGCTGAGGGGAGGAGCCTCCCTTCTCTCCTGAAAACCGATGATATCAGCAGATTATTTCAAAGCTCAGTGTTATTCTGATATCTATGATACATCAACTAAGAGGGAAATGTTTCTGAAAGTACAATCTGGCTTGAATTGTGTACTTTCTAGCCCAGAGCACAGCACAGTTCTGGAAGGCAAATGATTGGGCAAAAGGAGTCTTGTGCTGCTTTTTGTTTGTGTGTTAATTTTTCTTGTGATTATAGAATGAGCAGTTACTCTGTAGTAACAATTATACTGCAACCTGTATTTAAGTGTTAAACATACCATTATATATATATATCTTTATATTTGATCAAAAGGCTTTCAAATACATGGAAAAATTGTGCTTTTATCAATCTGTCAGGTTATTTTTTAGCCATTTTAGTATTAATATGTCCTTAAAATTACTAAATAAATGTATGTGAAGGGTCAAAAACAAGGCTCCCTTTATGCAAACTATTCTTATCAAGTATAAAAAAGAGCCAGGATACTGATTGACTAACAGAAGATTATAATATGTAATGATAATTTTTTTTTCAATCAGGGTCAACATGCTCCAAATTATTGTCTGAAGCTTTCAGCTGAAGGGCTGTTTTCCCATTCTGTGCTTCAGATTAGATGAGCCAATGTAATTGAGTAAACAAATCCTAGAAAGTTGTTTACAAAAGTTTCTTTGAGGCATCTTCCCTGATAATTTCCTTCATATACATTTGGGATGATCTGAATTTGATGTAGGTACATGTGAAATCTGACACTGGAGCTATAAACTCAATTACATAGGTATGGAATAGGGATGACTTAACTTGTCACCACAGAGACAATTTCAAGTGCCTAAGCAGTGTGATGGGGCCACAGATAAAACTGATACCCACTGATGGTGTTGGGAAGAGAGGGTGTGAGCAGAGTCCTACTCTTCATTGGTCAGATCACACTAGTTGCCAGCATGGTTGTCATACTACAGGGAGAGTTCGTAACAGCATATCCAGACAGGTGGGTTGGCATGGTGATGGGTCTCGAGCAATCTGAGGAATGTTTCAGAGCATCTCTGTCTCCCCTGTGTTATGTGAAGCCTCTGTGGAGTAGGCTGCAGCTGTGGACTCATGTCCTTTGTGTCAGCCACAACACTATTGCCTTTGTGTAACAGTTTTTTTCTTAAGAGTAAAAATCCTGATAAATTTAATAAACAATTACAGAAATGGCATATTTACTTTGAAGTAGTGAAGTAAGTAGGAATAGATAGTGATCTTAAGATAGTTGAAGAAACAGACTTATTCTAATGATCTCAAAGAGCAGAATTAGGACGATTGAGTTGATGTTTCCATATCAAATGACTTTCCTGGTAATTGGTTGCCAAAAAATAAAACCAGCTGTCCTTCAAATTCCTCCTCATCACTGAAATCTGGACACAAAGAAGGAATCTCGATATTGAAGAAAAATTTTAATGAAATCTTGAAACCTTCCTTAGCCTACAGTTAAATCATAAAATAAGTGTGTAT